GCTAAATCCTCCACAATGACATAATTGTTGTCGCTTACTTGTTTTGTTTTTTGGTCGACCTGAACCATACGTTTACCAAGTCCTATTATCGCGGCTAGTCCCACCTGGTTGGTTCTCCAAGAATCCATGGACCTCAACTTAAATCCCTACGCGGCAAACACGACCGCCAATTCAGTGGGGTATTAAGACCAGTATTGGTCGTAAACACCCCTACTGACCTTCCACCTCTAAAAAGTAGCCGAAATACCTGACAGATCCCTCTTCTCGCGGTGCTGGCGCTCGCAGCCAGACCGGGCATCCCGGGGACATTCTGCAAAATGGAGTTCTCATTAATCCACGACGGATGATAATTTAATTATCCCTGATCGCGGTGCGATGAAGAAACGGAGGTGACTTCCCCATTAATTGGCTTTTCCCATAAACATTTGTTTACTCTGCACTCCCATGAAATTTCCCCTTATTCCATCCAAGCCCTCTTAATATTGTAAGCCCCCCTATACTATGCGCAAGCTCCGGTCACCCGCGAAAATTTGATTAATTAATTCATTTCACTTTATTACTTCACAATTAATGGGGTCGCGAATTGAGCGCACATCTCTCTCTCTCACTCAAAAAAACTGATGCACGTCACAATATGTTTAAAGAAATGGTCACAAAGGACCTATAATTCAACTAGTTAAAGTCAAATTCCTTTGTCAAGAAAGAAGGCGAAGGTGTCCAGACACGCCTTAACACAATAATCTCTAGGGGGGCATCTAGGGGGATACATCCATATCTGCACGTGCAGTTCCTGGAACAAAAAACCGCAGGGAACGTGGGCAATTTGTCAATCTGGGCCACTTACTACTACAGTATCGAGGCGCGTGCTACGTATCACGTCTTGGTTTCGCTGACCGCTCTGGCGTCAGTACGGTGACTTAATTTTCCATTCGACTAATTTTTATGATCCAGTATTCTGGCTGGGAGATAATTGTACCCTTGTTTAGTTTTGGATTGTTATACGCTACTAGTACTGCTACACCACAATAATAGTTTCGCTTTGTTATACACTTACAGCTTTATTTCGCAGGAAGGGTGAGTCATCACTTTATTGATTAATTTGACATGTCACAGCCAAATGTAGCTGGTCCAGAACGTAATTATTAAATTCTAAAATAAAAAAAAACGACAAACCGCGAGTCCTATAATGTTTATTGATTGTCTCATTATTTTTCTTGTTTCACAATATTTCCGATCGGTTCCCCTAGTCCCGCGCTTCCGGTTGAAGACCCTAAGAAAATGGAAAAAAATCATAATTTAGGAAACCAACATCTTCCAAAGAAGAATTCAATGTGCATCTGTGCCACAGATGCACATTGAATTCGCAGGATACCTCGAAACTGAAATTTTAAATTTTCAACTTCCCTACAGGAAGTTATTGGTTTCACACCGACAATAAAATATCGTTTAACTATTTAACCTATAATATTTATTGATTGTCTCATTATTTTTCTTGTTCGACAATATTTCCGATCGGTTCCTCTAATCCCGCCCTTCCGGTTGAAGACCCTAAGAAAATGGAAAAAAATTGTAATTTATGAAACCAGCATCTTGGAAAGAAGCAATTAAATGAAGAGAATGCTAGAAGTCCTTACGTCTGTGATGTGGTAAGTGATGATGTATTGAATTTGGAAGTTGGAAGGTTTGAAGACAAATCGATGAATTGAAAACTAAAAGGTGAATAAAACCGGAACAAACCAAAACATAAAACAACAGAAAAATTCAACTATGCAACGAAAAATCATCTCTGATATACTGATCAGCACCATGTTTTTCG